ACACACTCACTCACTCACTCACTCACTCACTCACTCACTCACTCACCCACCCACCCACCCACCCACCCACCCACCCACCCACTCACTCACTCACTCACTCACTCACACACTCACTCACTCACTCACTCACTCACTCACTCTCACTCTCCTCACTCTCAATCACACACAATCTCACAGCATAAACCAAGAAACAACCAAACAAGCACACGGTCCATATGACCGACCCAGCATTTGCGTAAACAAACAGAGTCGCGCAAAGTGACCCACGCACCCGCACACCTACTACACACGCAAACATGCACGAACGTATTCACACGCACTCGCAAACTCGCCCACAGATGTTAATAATATAACAAGAGGCTTTGGCATGTTATCTCTTCATAGCTCACACGACAAATAAGGAGAGTTCTTAAGAAGTGCAGCTGTTTTCTTAAGGTTGCACACAAGGTGGAAAACAGATTATATTCCTGTCTGATACGCAGTGCTTTTTTTATTTTGCGTTTTTTTTTTTTTTTTTTTTTTTTCGTTAATTACTTCACTTCTGATTTTTTTCTCTCTTCTGTGTTTGTCAGTTAGTCCTATTCTTGTTTTGTTTCCCTCCCTCCCCTCCCCTCTCTTCCCCTTCCCTCCCCTCCCCTCCCCTCCCCTCTCTTCCCCCTCCCCTCCCCTCCCCTCTCTTCCCCTTCCCTCCCCTCCCCTCTCTTCCCCCTCCCCTCCCCTCCCCTCCCCTCTCTTCCCCTTCCCTCCCCTCCCCTCCCCTCCCCTCCCCTCTCTTCCCCCTCCCCTCCCCTCCCCTCTCTTCCCCTTCCCTCCCCTCCCCTCCCCTCTCTTCCCCCTCCCCTCCCCTCCCCTCTCTTCCCCTTCCCTCCCCTCCCCTCTCTTCCCCTTCCCTCCCCTCCCCTCTCTTCCCCCTCCCCTCCCCTCCCCTCTCTTCCCCCTCCCCTCCCCTCCCCTCTCTTCCCCCTCCCCTCCCCTCCCCTCCCCTCTCTTCCCCTTCCCTCCCCTCCCCTCCCCTCCCCTCCCCTCTCTTCCCCCTCCCCTCCCCTCCCCTCCCCTCCCCTCTCTTCCCCCTCCCCTCCCCTCCCCTCTCTTCCCCCTCCCCTCCCCTCCCCTCTCTTCCCCCTCCCCTCCCCTCCCCTCTCTTCCCCCTCCCCTCCCCTCCCCTCTCTTCCCCCTCCCCTCCCCTCCCCTCCCCTCTCTTCCCCCTCCCCTCCCCTCCCCTCCCCTCCCCTCCCCTCCCCTCCCCTCTCTTCCCCCTCCCCTCCCCTCCCCTCCCCTCCCCTCCCCTCTCTTCCCCTTCCCTCCCCTCCCCTCCCCTCCCCTCCCCTCTCTTCCCCTTCCCTCCCCTCCCCTCTCTTCCCCTTCCCTCCCCTCCCCTCCCCTCCCCTCTCTTCCCCTCCCCTCCCCTCCCCTCCCCTCCCCTCCCCTCCCCTCCCCTCCCCTCCCCTCCCCTCTCTTCCCCTTCCCTCCCCTCCCCTCCCCTCTCTTCCCCCTCCCCTCCCCTCCCCTCCCCTCCCCTCTCTTCCCCTTCCCTCCCCTCCCCTCCCCTCCCCTCCCCTCTCTTCCCCCTCCCCTCCCCTCCCCTCTCTTCCCCTTCCCTCCCCTCCCCTCCCCTCCCCTCCCCTCTCTTCCCCTTCCCTCCCCTCCCCTCTCTTCCCCTTCCCTCCCCTCCCCTCTCTTCCCCTTCCCTCCCCTCCCCTCTCTTCCCCTTCCCTCCCCTCCCCTCTCTTCCCCTTCCCTCCCCTCCCCTCTCTTCCCCTTCCCTCCCCTCCCCTCTCTTCCCCTTCCCTCCCCTCCCCTCTCTTCCCCTTCCCTCCCCTCCCCTCTCTTCCCCTTCCCTCCCCTCCCCTCTCTTCCCCTTCCCTCCCCTCCCCTCTCTTCCCCTTCCCTCCCCTCCCCTCTCTTCCCCCTCCCCTCCCCTTCCCCTTCCCTCCCTTCCATTCCCCTCTCCTCGCCTCGCTTCCTCTCCCCTCCTCTCCCCTCTCCCCTCTTCCCTCTCCATCCCCTTTCCCTCCCTCCCCTCCCCTCTCCCTTCTCCTCCCCTCACCTCCCATCCCCTCCCCTCCCCTCCCCTCTCTTCCCCTTCCCTCCCCTCTCTTCCCCCTCCCTCCCCTCTCCCCTCTCTTCCCCCTCCCCTCTCCCCTCCCCTCCCCACCCATCCCCAAGACATAATTAGTGGTCTGCAAAGTCAAAGGATAATTGTCTCCCAAGTATCTACGGCCCGACATGACGCAACGACGGCGGTAGATTCTGGAAGCTCCTGTGCACGCCGGGATGCTGTGGGCGTGGGCGTAGGCGGGGGTGTGGGTGTAGGTGTGGGCGTGGTCGTGGGTGTGGGTGTAGGTGTGGGCGTGATCGTGAGTGTGGTGGCTTACTTGTGAGGGTGGTGGAGTGATCGTGGGCGTAGTGGCTTACTTGTGAGGGTGGTGGTTATGATTGTAGGGGCGTGGAGGCCTAAAAGCGTGGATGTGGATGTGGGTGTGGGCGTGATGGAAAAGCAATAGACGACGTGTATCACTTCGTAGGATGTGAAGGAAGGACGGAAGGGAAGAGAATGAGGGAAGTAAGTAGGGGAAGAGAATGAAGGGAAGGAAGGAAGGTGAGGAAAGAAAGGAGAGGAAAGAAAGTCGAGGGATAGAAGGAGACGAACAAGGAAAAGGAATAGGAAACGAGACACGTGGGCGTTGTTTGTGTGAGGGCGTGTGGATCGATGGCGAACGCGTGGGGGTGGGGGGTGGGGGGGTAATGGAGGGGGGAGCGTGACATCGGGTAAGAGAGTTGGGGGGGAGGAAAATGGAGAAAGGGGAGGGGACGGAAAGTAAGCATGATGGAGGGGAAGTGGTAGGGGAGGGGGGGGAGGTGGAGTGGGCAGGAGGAGGGTAGTGGAGGGAGAAGGAGTAAGGAGGAGGGGGGAGTGATGAGGGGAAAATGAGGGGCCAGGGTGTTGAAGGGGGGGGGGGGACTCAATTACCATGAAGTCCATGCGGGAAGGTGCCAGGACAAAAACAATGTGGGCGGCAGGTTTTCACTCGGGTGTTTCTCTTCATGAACTTGTACGTTATTTCCTTTCTTTTCTTTCTTTGTCTTAATTTCTTGTTAGTCATCTTCATCATCATCACCAGCAGCATTACTGCTACTGTTACTACTACTAGGCCTAGTACTAGTACTAGTAATAGTAATACTAAAACTATTAGTGTTGCTATTAATATTACATTATTATTACAACATCGACCTTGAATATCACTATCATTCTACAAACACATTTTCCAGCAGTTTTATTGGTAAGAATAGTGTGATTTTTTCTCTCACGTAGACCACCTACAATAATATTTCTTTGCCCTTGGTATCGTCTTTTACCATTAATGATATACCGTGAAGTTTGTAAAAAGTGTGTTCGTGTGTCCGCAAGTGTGTGCAAATATACTTTATTCATTGACCTGTTTGTTATGTGCGTATTAGTGTGCATGTTGCAAGGGTGACTGTTTTCGTATTCATGATTGTTTCGGCAAAGGACTTTTTCGGTAAATGTATTACCATTCTTTCTTAAGCATTTATTGAAACAGAAAACAAGCTAGTATTTAACTGACAGGTATATCAGTGTGATATCCCACGATATGACATGAAGGTCATATATATTCATATCCATAGCCAACCCTTCCTACCAAAAAAATACGATAACAATAAGTGATAAAGTAAATATGGAAACCACGTCCAAAAATCCCCCTCCAGCTCCTCACATTGCCTACCTCCTGTTGCGAACGGGAGAAGCTACAACGAAGTGTATTGATCGTTGTAGAGACCACGTGGACCATATAACCTCCTGCGCTCACTCCGATTCTGTCACCTTTTTTCTTCCTCTTTCTAGCCCTTTGAAATACGCGCTCCGATTCTGTCATCTCCCTACTCCTTTCTATTCCTTTGAAATACACACTGCGGTTCTCTCATCTCTATCTTGCCCTATATATATATATTCGATTTTTATATAAAACTTTTTGAAGCTTATATAAACAAGTGAAATGTGGTAACCCAATAA